GCTCACTCGGCGCATGGAGCGGCCGGGGGAGGGCGGCGAGATGGCGGCGGCCCTGCGGGAGGCCAAGCGGGCACTGCGAGGGGAGCTGCGGCGGCGGCTGCGGGCGCTGGGCGAGGCGGAGAAGCAGCGGCAGTCCCGCCTGCTGAGTCGCAAGGTGGGTGCGGGTTCCTGGAAGAGCGGGCCCGGGGGCGGGAGGGAGGAGGGCCGAGAAGCCGGGCCTGCGCGGGGAAGCCCGCCGGGGGGTTTCCAGGCCTCGCTGGGGACCGAAGCGGTGACTCAGGGTGACAGGGCCTTCCCGGGCCTGTTGTGGGGGGAGCTCCGCCTCGGCCCCTGCCTCCCCCCCCATCGCATCTAATTAACGTCGGGGGCCTCGGTGTGTGCCGCGGCTGCGGTGCCGGCCGCCATCGAGTGAAACACGGGGTGTCGGTGAAACCGGAGGCGAGCAGTGTCCCCGGCCGGCTTCCTCAGTGCCTCCGGTGGGGTGCTGGCATCTGGTGTTTTTTACATCGGGCTGGCGTTACGGACAGAAAAACCCCGCAAATGTCCAATTTGCCTCGTGTTTTAACTGGCTGGCGTTTCCCTTCTGTGTCTCTTCAGTGGCATTCCTTCCAGGCTGTTTTATTTCTACTGTAACTTTTGTACTTTTCATGTAATTTTGTACTTTAAGAGGTACCAAGGAGGGTCCACCTTAGTGTATCCTAGCACAGCATGGTACCAGTGTGTACTTTTGAAATGTCCTGTTTGGTTTGGATTGCAAAGTTTTTATATAGATGTATTTTATCATTTTAATAAACACAGTAAAATTTTATTTTGCAGTCACTACATGGAGTAGAGCACAGTCCTCCTCTTTTTTTTTTATTTCTTTTGCAGCACCAGCGGGTACTTCTAGATGTAACATTTATATTGTTATTTTCCTGCCAGAGGATCTCAAATCATGTTACAGACTTAAAACTGAGTTGTCGTCACTTCGTGAGTGGAACGTGGCAGCACAGAAACTTTAGGTCATAGGAAGTTTAAGTGGAACTCACTTAAAGGAACTCACCTTTATTTTTTTCCACTGTCAATGCTTTTTTAAAAAGAAATATACATAATGCCCTATGATGATGCATTTTAGTAATCACACATTCTAGACTTCAACCTCTGAATTTTTCGAAAATACTGGCAGGCATCCTCTCCAAAAAATGCAGAGTCCTCTGCCAACTTTATAAGCACCTACCCCACATAGCACCCAATTTTTAGGAGCCCTCAGCTTTCCTCTCACTGCTGCTGATAAATTTGGCACCAGAGTGCTCGTTTCTGCTCATGAGAGCACGCCAAAAGACACTGCTTTTGTTTTGCTTAAAAGAAGGCAGCAGGAAATATGACATAAAAATTGATATTATCTTGCCATTTTAATAATCTGACACAAATTGAAAATCCTGAGCTTTCTTGAGTTGGAGGGGCATTGCGCAAGCGGCAGAAAGTAGAGTCAGGTTCTTTGCGGGAGAGTAATACAACAGACATGAAGAAAGTTTAAAAATGTTGGAAATATATTTGGAACAATATAAGGCCAAAAATGTAGTTTTATAACATATATCAGTGCTTGCAGCTAATAAAAGTGAGTAGGTTGTTTTATAACACCTGAACAATATTTTTTAGTCATAAAATCTCATCTCAAAAGGATCTTTAAATTCAAAGTGAAATCGCTTCACAGGCTGACCTAGCCACCAGTATTTAATTAGCTGCTGGATGATTATTCTTTTTTAATGTTTATGTTCATGATCAAAGTCATGCTGTTTGCATGCCCTGATTCTGCAAAAATAGCCATCAGCTGGTGAACAAAGGGCACATAATATTTGTTAATTGAGGAAATTTTTTCACTCTTCTCAGAAAGTGCTCCGAGTCATAGCAGCTTCATCTTCACAGTTCTAAAAACATCTGAAATTCTGTCTTCCTGCTCACTTGTGGTTTCACATCTTCAACCTAATTTCTTTCCATGCAGCATAACCAGTGTGTTACTGGACATGTTGGAGCAGACTGGACCTGTGTGGTGCGCTGTGGACAGTAGCGCTGTGAAAGTGGAGTGTTTTGTGTCTCAGTTTCTCTCTTCTCGGAACCCAGGAGAAGGTTCAGCTCTGGAGGCCCTCAACAACATGAATCACAGGCATTGTCTGGAGTCTGCAATTTGACTAAATAGTCCGTTCTTTCAAACAAAAGCTGCCATGGAAATTCTGTTGTTTGAGAGCTTAATCACTTAGTTGGAAAAATCCATGTGTAAGGTTGGGCAAATAGCAAAAGGAAGCAAAACAGGGTTTTGAATTGTTAAGACGTTTCTATGGCCAAGCATTACCATAATTTGATCCGGAGTGTTTCTTGGTTGTTTGTTTTTTTTTTCCCCTTACAAAAATATACCCATCTTCTGAATATTTCACCTGGGCTTTTAATTGCTGTGCTGAAAAGAAATTAAAAAAACAGAGTGAGAATCGTATCTCAACTCGGATAGGGGCATTTATCTCTGAAAACATGGCCAGGGCAAAGGCTAAAGCTCAGAAGAGCGAGCTACCCTGCAGTTATGCAAACAGAGCGGAGGATTTGGTGCTTTCTGTTCCATAGATAAGCACAGTTTCTCAGTTGTCTGTTATTTTTGACAGATTTTTGCAAGTTTGTAAAATAAGAATAAATTGCATTTAAATGAGAAGGGAGACATTTGTATTTGTTTTGTCCAGATGTAAGTAACAAAATATGTAAGGTACGAGAGAGCGAGAAGACAAGCTTTCAAAAACCTCTCAATTTTTCATGTGGAATTCAGTCTTGAATGGGGCAAAGACATAGGGAGGTATGAATCTGCTAACACTTTTTTACCATATAAGCGTTTCTTATTTTCCTTCCTATATTTAGCCTTTTATAAGCCCAGCACAGAGAACCTTATGAAAATCAAAACATGGCAAGGCCATCTTTCCTTCAAGCTCTGAAAAATGTGCAGTAATAAGATCACCCATTAGAAGCAGGTGATGTTTGAAGTCATATATTTAAACTTGCCATAGGGAAGGCGTTTCAGGTGAAAAAAAAGAGAAGGGTGTCTGGTCTTGGAAGACTCTCTGCTCTGCAGTCAGCTGTTCTGATGCTAATTTTCTTTTGAGTTATTATCATTGATGCTCTTCTCATTCTGCCAAGCCCCAGATGAGAGATGTAGCATGTAGAAAGGGTGGAAGAAAAGGAACACAAAAGCCTCATGCTTTGCATAAGCTGGCAGTTCTGACCTGCAGTATCTTTCTCCAGGGATATTGGGCATTTGACGATGTCTGCACTATATGGCTTAGATATGTAAAGGATGAGGAGATTGTCTCCAAAATTGTTTTTTTTTCCAGGTCCAAACCTGTGTTACAATGTTTTGTTCATTGGGTGCAAAAATTTGCCTATTTTGATTTTGCTGATGGTAGAAATGTTGGAGTAGGAAACAAAGTCAATTTATTCTCTTTATGATGTATGGTAGTTTGTATGTCTACCCTTTTGAATGGATATTTTGCTCCAGTTGTGTGTTTAATTAAAATAAAGTCAGTCTTTTTGTAAACTTTTCATCAACTGATTACATCAATTTCCCATGTAGGTGATTTGCCATCCCAAGTACCAAGACTCCAAAAGAATTGCAATCTTTCTGAGCATGCCAGATGAAATCCAGACAGAAGACATCATTAAGGACATTTTTAAGCAAGGCAAAGAGTGTTTCATCCCACGTTACAAGCCTCAGAGCAATCACATGGACATGCTGAAGTTGTTGTCAGCTGAAGATATTTCTTCCCTTACTTTGACATCCTGGAATATTCTCCAGCCTAGTGATGATGACAGTGCAAGAGAGGAAGCTCTGGCTGGTGGTGAGTATTTTCTTCCTACATTGTGGGGTTGTTGAGCAGGAGTAGCCCGGAGGCCAGCAGGAAATAATCTTAACAGCAAGAGTGAAATGAAATGTTATAGAGGTGCTGAAGTGGATGTAAGCGGATGCTCCTTTCTCCTGCCTGTTTTTTTCTGTCCTGTGGTACCCCTCTTACATGCCAGCAAGGCAGGAACAAGACTGCCCAGTTGATCCAGCTGAAGGAAACTCAGTGCTCCAGTTCAATCAGCTTCTCGGTCCCATTCGTGGACATCCTCAGTGCAGTCTCAGCAAGCGTAACACAGAGGCTCGTGAAGGCGACAGGGACTTGCCAGGAGTGGCTTGGGCTGCCATTGAAAGTCAGGGGGGATTCACAGCTTTAGGATGAACTCTGAGAACTTCAGTTTGTGCTGCTTGAAAAGTAGGGACTTTTCAGGTGATACCTGTGGGCTGACATGAGAATTTTCTGAACTCTTTGATCCTGCAAATTATATTGCATGGATGAATCACAGTGTTGATATGGAGCCTGGCCATGCAGAACAGCTCTCCGGACTGAGACCTTAGACTGAAAATAAAAGGACTTTATTGTGGGCCTGGGTGAATATTGCAAAGTCTTTTCCATCAGTGTTCTCTCACATTTTAATTTTGATTTTATGATGCTGTCTTAGACACTGGATTCTTCATAGGGTTGAAAAGTTAAAAGTTCATTTATATATAGCAAGTGTATTTTGGTCCAAAAATAACCTCTCTCTTTCTTAACCTAAAATTCCCCAACTTGTACAGACTTGTAAACAAACTTACTTTTTGTGTGTCTGCATTCATTATTTGCATTCTTTTTGTAAACACGTTAATATCTTCCTGAAACATCTGCAGAAATGTTTAATGTTATTAATAGAAAACTCATGTTGAACTCATGCTTGAAACCTCAGTCAGGGAAAATTTTCTCTAGGTGGAAATTTACCATGCAGACAGCTTCCACACCTCACAGATTTACCAGCTTTTTAATACTTGATAAAGGAACATAACATTTATATGACTCTGGTTGGTTGAACTTAGGTTTGTATTTGCTTTGGGATGCCATTGTACTTTCCCAGAACACTTCACTGAGTTTCTCTTTTATTTTCAATCTTTACCTCTTTCCTAATTCAGAATCCTTTCTGTGTCCACATTTTAGTTAGCAAGGGATTTCACTGCTTCGTGCAAGCAGCTTCTTTACATTTAATATTTAACACTGTTACTTGTTTTCTATTTTTTGTCAAAAAATTGTGTATATTGGTGGGATTTAGGGGCTTTTCAAGGTAAACCTTAAAATGTCCAGGGTTCTGTTGACTGAGCTTAATTCAGGCACTTGAGCCAAGCTTTTGTACTACTGATGAGCTGCTGTTAAATGAATGTAACAAGTCTGTTGCAAAGATCACAGAGCAAGCACACAATTTTAGGTAAGATGGGAGCAAGGACTACCTGGGGTAGAGTGCACTGGGATGTGTCAGCTGGGGATGGCTCAGGTGGCAGGCAGTGAAGATGGGGGAAGGCAGGAGCAACCTTTGGGACCTGGCTAGTTCTGGAGCTACTGTTTTGTTCTCTGCACCAGGGTATGGTTATGAGCAGCGAGCAATGCCTGGAGAGCTACAGCAGCTACAGAGAGAGGCCAAGACAGATAGCTTGATGAGACCTTGGTCCTTCATCCCTGGACAGTTTTTGTAGATTAGAGAGTAAGTTTAGGTTTTTTTCACTATTGCGTAATCAATTTGTCCCCACAGAAACACATGCTACATCTCAGTGTGTCATTAAATTCCTTCTGCTGTATTTTTTATGTCAGTTATTATATTTTTTGAACTTTGGTACATTTGCAGGAATGCAAATTGCCTCGCTACTACATCCATCCTCCATTGTTGGAATTATGCATGGATGAAACATTTATCTCTGTGATGTTATCAAATACTGTGGTGATCTGAGGCATTTACATTGTCGTAAGGAGATAACATGGTGTTATATTAGTAATGTTCCCATTGCTGGCATAAGTTGCTATGTAATTTCCAAGAAATACCCTGCAGGTACATAAATAAGTCATGTCACTTCTGAGTGTATTCATTTTGCATGACAAAAAGCTTAAATTCACACTGTCCTTAAAACTTCAGGCATGGTTATTGTGAATAATAGCTCAAATATAAGACTAGGTATAATTTTTGCCTAGACTTTCCCAGTCTTTGGTGGAGCTCACGAGCTATGTTGAATAGACATGGAACCTTCCTTTAGGAGGTGGTCCTTCTTCTGTTGGACTAGGGTTTATGCATTTTCATCTAGCCTGTACACCACATTGCACCTTGTCAGCATAAACAAAGGTCATTGCAGTTTTGGTAGTAGAAGGTCTGTCATCTTCTCTACCATGCATGGGTGGCAGTACTTGTTGTATGAAAAGTTGATTTCTTTAGGCTAAATGGAGACAGTAACAGAAAGAACAAAGGTGGAAGAATATTCAGATATTTTGTTTGGAGTAGTGGTGTATGCGGGTGCTTGACCTGGTTCATTTCCAGCTATATCTGCTGAAAGATTTAGAGAACTTTTGGAGCAAGTCACTGGTACATCTTCTTAAAAGGTACCAATTCCCATTTGTATCCTTGCCCATCAGAAGCATGAATATGCACTGGTACCAGGTTTTGCCCAAGGTAATACTTTCAGTGAAAGTTCAGGCAGGTTGCAATAATTGTTTACAGGAGTGTAGATACCTTGCACAACTTTGGAAGGAGTAAATCAGATAAAACCATGCTCCCTGTTTGCTTTTTATCACCACTCCTACAGAAATTTAAAGGACACTTCCCCAGCAGCTCTAATTTCAATGTGGTTTAGGGAGGCGGTGTGATTCAGCGGGCTGGACATGAGTTTCCTCATTTGTTATGTTATTTATTATTACTTAGACCTGCCCTGAGAATTATGGGTGAAAAGTTAAGTTGCTACTCCAAAGAAAAGAGATTATTCTTACTGCGACTCAAAAGAATTGTCTGGGTTGAGTATCTCCATATGGTAAAATTCTTGGAGGTGGCTTCTTTGAAGGGAGGCAGGTGGCCAACTTTGGACTGAGGGATCTCAGCTGGAAGTCTTGAACCTGAGAAAATGCTATGCTTAAGTGTGCATCACTGAACTGAACTACAGACTAGTAGTTGAAGGTGTACAATAAATTATAGACAACTTTTAAAACACTCACCTGTGTGATGGGGGGAGGGATTTTGGCCTAGACATATTCCTTTGGCCAAAAAATGAAAAGTTATTAGAAATTAAGGCTCTGAATCTGTTTACTCTAATGGATTGTGAGGTGTTCTAAGAAGTGCATGAAACAGGTTTATGTGTACAAACTTAATTGACCCTCTTTCTCTGTGTATTTTCTGCCCTGGTCTTTAAGTACATTATTACATAGTCCTTTCCCATTGGATATGGGCTCATTCAAAGATGAACCCAGATGCAATGACCTGGGCTTTTTGAAAGATTGAAAAGATGAACACTGCTTGCTGTTAATGAACGCTGCTAATGAGTGTGTGCTCAGTTATTTATTTTCTCCCTGTTCAGGTTAGAGCTGCAGGCCTTTTTTACCCTGTATTATTCAAACTTTGATGTGGAGACAGAGGTCCTCGTTTCTGTATGGGCTCTTCATCACTACAGCATTCAGTGACTTGAAGATCTTAACTGGTATTTGCTGATGGAGAAGCAGCAGAGGCTCAGGATGCTGGTTCCAGCCTGGGTTGTGCAGAGGAGCTGCTCCCAGTGAGCACCGACTCCTTTGCTTATTTTTCCAAACATTATGGTTTCTTCTCTGTTCCCTCCAAAATGATAATTTCCCAGCCTTGTGTCGTCCTTAGGCTAGATCCCACTTCTAGCCTTTGATTTCTCTGCCACCATGATGCCCCTTCCCATCCTTCTGCGCTTTGCCTACCTGAATCTCCCTCTCCAAGTGTCCTTCTCTGGCCTTTCTCACCATATTCCCTGTTTCCTCCTGCTCTCAGTCCTAGCCTGTCATTTCAGGGGCAGCTGGGCCAACATAAATAGCTTGCCCCTGCCAAAAGGGAGGAGGAGATCATGTGCTTTGTCTTCTTTCAGTGGTCCTCTTCCAGACGTACAAGATTCCCCGTCCCAATTTACTCATTTCCTTCCCCACTGTGCTGGCTTCTTTGTCTTTTTCATTGGCTTAGAAAAACTCCTTCTCTGTTAAGTAGTACTTTTTGTACTAAACAGTACGAAAGACGTAGTTTTGTGATTGTTTCTTTTGGGCAGTGCCTGATTAAATAAGTCTGTGGCCCTCTCTCCTCCACTTGGTCCCCACCCATCCTCTCCTGTGCCCGCATAGATGCCCCTGCAGCCACGTTGGGAGCTATACTGGGAAACCAGTCTTGGTTAGAAGTAACCCAGCCCCAATAAAAGGCTCTTCTTCTCTCAGACAGGGCCACCACACAGAGTTGGCCTGGTGAAACTGGTAGGAAGCTGGTCATGAGGGGTTGCGTAAACGGGTGGCATGCCAAAAAAAATCTTAGTGAAACTTCAGCCCTCATTTCCTTCCATGTTTCAGTTCCCAGTCTTGCCCCAGTCAGCAGGACTCGGAGCAGCCACCGGAATGAAAGTCCTTTGGGGCCCTCGCAGTTGGGAGCGGGGCTGGCAGGAGGAACTGAGCCTGGAGCTCCCTGTGCTCTGTCTTTGCAGCAACACACACTTCATGAGTTTTCCCTCTCCGTGTTTTCAGCATATTCCTTCCTCTCCACGGTAAGCTGCATCAGCTTGCTGCTCTGGAGGAGGGCTGTTTTCCTCCTCTCTTCCACCCCATTTCGGCTGGGATTTTTTAACCCAGATGAGTGGATCTTGTCTACTGTGGAACCCTATCAGTGCCAGGTGTGTGGATTGGGACTGAGTAGCAGGGATGGAGGGAATGTCCCCTGGAAACTGGCCCTGGAGAGAGTCGAGGGGCCACCCATGCCTCTGTGACTCCAGCAGCGGTATGGAGAGGGTGGCATCTTCAGAGGG